TGCGGTGCGCCCTGCCCCGCGCCCCCCTCGTTTCCGCCCTGGGGGACCGCGCCTTGGGGCCGTGCGTCCCCGCGGCGGAGAGGCGCGGCCCTCGTGGGGGGGGCACTTGCCCGGTGGGGAGAGGGTGCGCTTGCCAGTGGAGGGTGCCCTCCTCCCCCGCCTTCGGGCTCATCTGCACCCGCAGGACGTAGGCAAGCCCTTTGGAGACGGGGACGGTGGGTGGGTAGGGGCTGCGCGCACGCCACCACCATGTGTGAGCGCCACTCTCCTCCCCGGAGAGGCGCCCGGCGGCGGCCAGCAGGTGTCCCGGGTGCCTGGGCGCCTGCGGCTGCTGGAACCCGCTGCTCGAGCCTGGCGGGACTCCCGCTTCCGCTGGCTCTGCCCGCGGCCCACGTGGGAGCTCTGCGTACTTGCTCTCTTGCAGGCTTCCGGCTTCTTTTTCTTCCAAACTTCGCCCTTCTCTGGGCTGAAGTTTTCCCCTGCGGCGCAATGCTGTGGGGATTCTGAGACTTTAAAAAAAAATCCGCCCCTAAGGAAGGCGTTTCTTGCCTGAGGGCGCTCCCTCTTGGGAGGCCTCTGGCTTGAACCTGCTTTGTTTCCAACGTGGAAATTTGGAGCTCAGTTTCCTTGTGCCTGAGGCCCTCGGAGTCTCAGTACAAGGGATCATTGTTTGATGGGAAGCTTTGTGTATTGGAGGGCACTAGTTCTGAGAGTTGGCAGCTGGCTTCTCTGAGCCTTTTAAGCACTTCTTTCCAGGTTAGTGTCTCGAAAAACAGAGAAGAACTACAGTACTCAGGGGGACATTGATGATTAAACTTCAGACCTCTTCTCTGTTTATTACTGGCTAAAAACGCAGTTAACTTGTTTGGCTTTTAGAAGCTTTTGGCCTACAGGATAGGGAGGTCCGAGGTCTTCTCCAGGCATCTCGTGGTTTCCTTGTCTGCAGTTTTCCCGAATGAAGGGGTCAGTGTGTAATCAGCCAGGTTGGTTAATTAGTTCCTTGCAGGTTTTTTGGGGGTTTTTTGTTTTTTGTTTTTTTAAGTGCAGTAGTGAAAAGGGGGGAAAGGGTAGAACAAGGAGTTCGGTCTGTAACTGACCGTTAACAGTCCAGATATCTCACTACTTTTGGATCATCCCCCTTGCCGGTTCAAATGAGCCACTTATGAGAGGAGGGATGGAGATTTGAAACTTATTTTGCCATTTTGAAAGGAATCTTGCATTCAACAAATAACGTATAGAAGGCCTCACCCATGCTATTCTGGGGAAACAAGGCAGAAGGTGTTTTCATGAAACATATGCTGTTTGCGCGACTACCCTTAGGTGCCCATCTATAAAGTGGGATTTTACTGAAGTATTTGCTAGAAGAGTTAGAATCTGTGTTGCACGTGTTTGAAGCTTATCAAGTGGTATTGTGGAGACGAACAGGGCAGGGCGTGGTTAGCTCATGGCCTGTAATCGCAGCACTTTGGGAAGCCTGAGGTGGGAAAGTGGCTTGAGCCCAGGAGTTCAAGACCAACCAGGGCAACATAACCAGACCTCATCTCTACAGATAATTTTTTTAAAATTAGCCACTGTGATGGTGTGTACCTGTAGTCTCAGCTACTCTAGATGAGGCAGAAAGATTGCCTGAGCCCAGAAGGTTGAGGCTATGGTGAGGTGTGATCGTGCCACTGGGCTCTAGCCTGGGTGACAGAGTGAGAGTCCAACTCAACAATAACAAGTGGTGGCGCTTATAAGTAGGGTAACTGAGATTAACTTTGAATCATTTTTCTAACAATTAAATTATCATATTAAATATCCTTAGGCCACACCTTTCACCTTTCCCCTACAGGAATACACTTAAAGTGCTATTAAAAACAGAGGGATGGTATTTAAATCGGCCTCACTTAAATCTGGTTAGCATTCTTCCTGTCATACAATTTCCCTGTAAAATTAACATGGTGCATTTAAATGCAGGATGAGCCATGTGATTCTCATAGGCCTGTTGTAAATAAATAACATGCATTTTTGATCTTGGAGAGTTGCTAAATATAAAATTAAGAGATACGGTGCTAGGACTTGCCTGCTGATTTTTCTTTTGGGTTAGAACAGATGACAGCTTTACTGTTGAGAATGCATGATGCCAGCACCATATCCCCCAGACTTCTAAGGCAACATTTCATATTGAAAACATGAGATGCTTGTATCCAGAGCAAAATAAGTTAATAAAAACCATGCTCTATTCCAAATGTATAGAATAGTAGAGCTATAATCCACCATGTCCCTATAGATGCACAAACCCCTTTTTGCAGATATAAAGCTGAGGCACAGAAAGGTCAATTAAGGTGTCCAGAATGAAGAGCCTGGCATTCCACCAACTAGATGTGAGGCATGGCTTAAATCTGGTCTCTATCCCCAGTCTTTTTGTGACTTTACTCACAATAAAAGATGAGAACCTTACAGGTCAGCCATCTCTCTTTTATTTTTTTTGCAGAGACGAGGTCTCCCTATGTTGCCCATTCTGGGATCCAGTAATCCTCCCGCCTCGGCCTTCCAAAGTGCTAGGATTACAGGCATGAGCCACTGCGCCCAGCCTGGTCATCCATCTTTAAGGAAGGAGTGCAGAGTGCATGCATAAAGCAGGCTAGCTCCCTCCCTGCACCCACTGGACACTCCCCAGATATGGGAATAGGAGGCACATGTGTTCTGATTCACTGCCACCATTTCTCCTGGTCATTTGGTTTGAGAGCAGCATAACACTTGGTATGTTGGTTCAAATCTAGCTGTCTGCTGGTAGACTCCTATTAAAAAATATTTCTTGAATACCTGCCAGAAACCGGGGATGCAAAATATTACAGTAAGCAGGCCTCTGTTTTATTCTCATGGGGGTAAAAAAAACCAACGTTCATGAGAGTGAAACAGCAATGAGAGCTGGTTGGGGAAGGGAGCAGTCAGAAATCCATCTAGGGAGGTGGAATTTAAGCAGCGTAATTAGTCTTCCCTCAAAATGTATATGTTGAAACTTAATCGCCAATGTGATGGTGTGAGGAGACGGGGACTTTCGGGGTGATGAGGTCATGTGAGTAGAGCCCTCATGAATGGAATTAGTACCCTTAGAAAAGAGGCTCCAGAGAGCTGCCTCGTCCCTTTCCACCCTATGAGAAGGTACCACTTATGAACCAAAAAATTGGGCCCTCACCAGACACTGACTCTGCTGTCGTCTTGGACTTGCCCACCTCTGGACTGTGAGACATAAATTTCTGTTGTTTGTAAGTTACCCAGTGTATAATACTTTGTGACAGCAGCCCAAATGGACTAAGGCAAGCTGGTGGCTGAAGTGAGGATAAAGAGCCACCTGAGGACCAGAGCAAAGAGTTTGAGGTCAGGACAGATAGAACAAAGGTTCTACAGAAGAAATGAGCTCCCTGTCTTAGGAATAGAAACCTCAGTGCTGCTGCGTGGTGAGAACTGGGTGGGTGCGGTTCATAGGGTGTTTCTTGTAGACCGTCATGGAGAATCTGGATTTTATTGTAAATGTGTTGGCAGCTATTCAAGGGTAATGAGCATAAAGGCAGCATCTGCTATACATTTTTAAAGGATCACCCTGGCTGCTGTGTATAGAATAGCCCGTGGCAGAGAAGAGCTAGGAGATCAGGCCAGAAGTTTTGGTGCCGGTGCTTACGTCTAGGGTGGGCGCCACGGAGCTAGTAAAAAAAATACCAGACTGGAGATAGAATTTGCAGGTAGAACAGAGAGAAAAAGTTAAGATGTGGGGAGTACAGAAAGAACAAGATGACTTCTGTTTGGGGCCTGGAAAACCCCAAATATGATAGTAGAGGTGAATCATTTCAGAGAGGGAGATAGGCACAAGTGACTCTTTGGAGCCAAGCAGGGTGAGTGTAGGATTATTTCCTCCAAGATACTGCTAGTTAGGTGGGCAGAGACGTGAGATGGTGAGAGCCTTCTTTGCTATTGGAACAGAGTGGATGGCAGGTTGAGGGAGAGGAGAAGCCATTGGAGTGAGGGTCAGAGACGGTAGGTCCTTTTTGTGGCTTACTGCAGTGAGAGATGAAACAGGCAGGGGGCAGCCTTGGGGAGAGGCAGCGAGATTCAAAGGCCACCGAATTAGCACTGACCATTATCTAGGAGGAGCTCGGGGAGACACTGTCCTCCTGCACTGGCCATGAGCAAGTGGTATGCCTGACCTCACAGAGGACCAAACAGCCTTTGGCACCCAGATAGAGGGCATCCTGAGGGCTCCCACAGGGTACTGTGGCTTCTCCCAGGCAACTTCCCAGCTTGCACTCTGGGAGATTAAAAATAATAACTGTTTATCTGTGGTTGCTATGACAAGGAGGGTGTATGGTCCCATTGTGGGTGAGTAGTGGGCTATAAACACAATGGTGTTAAGGGAGTTGGGCAAGTCATGGTGTCTAGACTGTGGAGAACGGGCCTATAGAACACTCCTTTTGGCTATCTTAAGTGTGACCTGAAAAGGCCTTCACACTGAAAGACCTTGTGAGGCCAGTCTGAAACTGGGGCCAACCCACAGGCCTCAACTGAAAAGTCAAATGACCCATGAATCTTCATCTTTTTGGCCTAGGAACACAATGGCATTTTGGGCAGGACAGTTCCTTTTGTAGGACTGTCTTGAGCATTATAGGATGTACCCGGGTCTTTAGCCCATCTGTATCAATGCCAGTGTCACTCCCCCCAGTCACTGTGGCAGCCAGAAATGTCCCCACATTTCCAGACACTCACAGGGTAGCTGTTTGACACTTGGTTGAGGACCCCTAGGCTAAATCCCCGAGACAGACTGCTCACTAAGGAGAAGTAGGAGCAGCTACATTTGTGTACTGATCAGCAGAGAACAATGAGGAAATAGGGGGCTTTTTTTTTTTTTTTACTTTGAGGAAGTTAATTTTTATTTTGTTGGGAGGGCGTAGTGTACAGAAAGAATAACTGATATTAATGATTATCATGACCCAAATGCCTCAATTGATTCTCATGGAAATTCTGTGGATCAAGTGAAAATCTTACCCTAATAGGTACAGGTTAGGAAATAGATAAGGTACATGTTTTCACAAAGTGTGCAGTGGACCCTGGATCCTTAACTGTGATTGTGATCATGCTGTTCTAGTCTGTGCCTCAGATGCATCTAAAGCAGTGGTTCTCAAAGTGTGTGATGTATTTGTATCAACTGGTAATTTGTTAGAAATGCAAGTTCCTTTGGCCTCACCCAAGTCCTACTAAATCAGAAACTCTAGGGTTGGGACCCAACCATCCAGGTTTTAACAAGCCTCGGGATATTCCACTGCCCACTGAAGCTTGACAGCCTCTCACCTAGGGAGCTTTGAAAAGAATGGACATCAGCAATTCTGATAAGCTCTTCAGGTGATTCTTACCCAGAGTATGCATTTCTTATTG